AACATTTTTTTTTTCCCTTATAGGAGACCTGGTGAACCCCCATTAATAACAGGATGGCTTCCTTATCTTGGACAGATCCTGAACTTCCAAAAGGATCCTTTGGCTTTTATAAAAAGTCTTCAAAAGCAGCACGGTGATATTTTCACAATTCTCCTTGGTGGTAAGAAGCACTTCTATGTTTCTTAAATATGCCATAACGTCTCACTTGTATTTTAATGTTTTCTCTAGGTAAAATATTGAATATTCTTTATTATTGTTTCATTTGTAGAGCTAACACAAAGATTACCATGTCTTTCAGCACAGTAATTTTCACACTTGAAAAACAATCAGATTTTCCTGAGAATATCTGGAGAGCCCCACTCTCCTGCCACCGCCTATTTGTTCTGTTTCTTTCTTGTTTAGTCCTTTTAATCAGTGATTCTTATATAATCATAACTAGCAGTAACTAAACTCACTGCCATCAAGTTGATTCAAAATTTTTCAACTGTATATATTTCAACTGAGACTGTAAATCTTTAAGGGAACAGACAACCTCATCTTAATCCCTTGGAGTGACTGGTGAGTTTTGAACCTCCCACCTTGTGGTTAGTACCTCAACACTTATCCCAAAGTACCTGCAGGACTCTATAAACAATTAATTATCATGGGAGTTTTCATGGGAGAACATCGACTTTAAACCATCATTTCATTGCAATAATTACATCTCCTCCATGAATCATCATTCAACAATATTTGCTTCCAAGTGTCTTACTCTTTGTCAATGCCTTCAATGCATCTTGGACTTCTTACTTAGGATCATTGGCTTTGATCATATGTTACCCCTTTTTTTGTTTACATTTTTATTGTGAATTGAGTGATCATTTACATGGTAGAACATCGACTTTATACTCATCATTTCATTGCTTTGATTACCATCTTCTCCATGCATCATCATTCAACAGCATTTGCTTCGGTTCCCTCTTGTTTATTTTATTTTATTTTTTTTTTTTGGCGGGGAGCAGTGTGGAGAGATACATAAAAACACTCAAGAATATATAACAATTTAAACAACCAAAGGGCACATTTTGCAAGCCTGTGTCATGGCTGCCCGCACCCAGTCCCTTTCTTTCCATGAGTTCAGAGTCCTCAGCTGCTCCCTCTTTCCATGTCCTCATCTCTGCCTCCATCTCTTGTGTCTCTGAATTCTGCTTGTGTTCTTCTCCCTTGATGGTCATAAGGTCCTCTGTTTCTGGACTGTAAGATTAACTGCTCCCCCATTTTTGTTACAAAAATTTTACCTTTACAGTTGTGAGAGTCACAATTAGTCATAGTAACAATTACTCACTGTTGAATCATAAGAATCTTATCCCCAGACCCATCTAAACAAGATGGAAAATATTCACTGGGGAATCTACCTTCCCCTGCACACTCTTAAGCTAAACTCCCTCTTGAAAATTGTAAGCCAGTCACTTCATGCCTTTATCATGCCCTCATTTTAGGTAGTCAGTGTTTAAGTTGCCTGTCTATATCTACCCTGTATACAAAGGGGATAGGATGGATACTTGATGTGACGACCCCTTCCCTTTCAGTTGGTATTTTGAGCAACTACATCCATAAGTATAGGTCAAATTCATCAAATTGTAGCAACTTACACTCATTTCCTTTATCAAAAAATGTTTTGTTTTTTTTAAATCTTTCTCTAGTAGAGGTCTGATTATCGAGCCATTGAGGCTAGGTCAAATGGGTCCTGTCTGCAGGTTTGGGCATTCTTGTGCATCTCCCCTCACTTCATATCAGCTAGACACTTCACACTCAGCTTTAGTCCTCTGTGGCTATGTCCTTGTCTGTGGGCTCAGGAGTCTCCCAAGTCTCCCCACACTTCGGACCAACCAGCTCTTCCTCTTCTCTCTCTCATCTCCAGGTCAACAGGAATCTATGGAACATGGCTGATCTCAGCCCATTTCTTCATTGTTATCTTCCCCCTCTTCCACTCACTAGTAGACCAACATGGTCGCCAGCACACTTATATGCCTGCTCATGTGTTCCCTTTGAGTTTCAGTCTTGGTGGGGGGTTTGTCCTGAAGGGGCTTGACTCCCTGGTGAACAACTTGCTTGTTCTTGTAGTAGCCAATCATACTGGCATTTTTGTTTTGGATGTTTCCTGCTGATCCTTCTTTGAAGATGTATCTTCTGTTGCTCTAGCTGTTCCAGGCTGGTCCACTTCTCCTTTCTAGTGGGAATGTCCTACCTTAAAAGGTTCTGGATGGGACTCAGGATTCCACCTAAGATCCTATACCCTGCAAAGGCTCCACAAGAAGCCTGTTTCATTGGGCAAGTTCTAGAACTCCTTTTAGGTATTCTAGTCGTTTATAGGCTGAAGACGAGCTTACAAGCTTTCTGTAATCATGTTTCCCAACATTCCTTTCTATCCCACTCAAGTATTTAGTTTACAATAGTAGGAAAGGAAAACCAATATTCGTAAGACAATCAAGCATCTTAGCATTATTTCCCCTCTTCAGACTATGCCTCAATCCCTGCATCACAGCGCCCTGTTGTTGCAGGTTTGAGCATATATCACTATTTACCTCTGTCCCATTTAGCCCATGGAAACCTGTCTCAGTGTTCCCTTATCGACCTTGTTCTTCCATCCCCTCCCCCTTCTTGTGTATTGCCTTCCCCAACACCCAAAGTATATGTCCAACCCCTCCCCTGTGCTCTACTGTCCCCTTTCCCCACCCTCTCAGACCCCCTCCCCCACCGGTAACCAACAAATAATTTTTTCCCTTTTTGTATGGGTATATGATGTATTTTTTAAATTTTTAAAATATTTGTTATGCTTTAAAATGTTATCCCTCCCACCCACCCCCAACAAATAGTAGTAAGAGTACTACACCCCAAACACCACAGAGCATAGAGAAGAGCAGTGAGGAAAAGCCAGAAAGTTCTTAGCTCATCTTTCTTTAAAATCCATGTTATCCAGCTGTATCAGTATCTCTAGCTGCATAGTCAACCTCCAAAAAATGCAATGCTTAGAACAACAACAGGTCATGCATGGTGTCATTTACATGGGTGGCTATAGTCATCTGGTCACTTGACTGGGATTGGATTGTCCAAGATGGTTTCATCACATGCTTGGCTAGGCTTCCTTGTGTTCATGGTCTTTTATTCTCAAGAAGGTTGCCTTAGGCTTCCCTACATGAAAGCAAGTATTTCATGAGTGTGACAAGAAAAGGTGTAAGACCTCATTTCCAGTTTAGCCTAGCATAGATCATGACTAGCCTCAATCCAAATGTAGGAAACAGGCTCTATGTCTTCCAGGGAAGAGTGGCAGAGTCAGCAAGAAGCCCCGGAACAGGGATCCAATGATTTATCATGGCAACCTTTGCACACAGTCTCCCCACCACGCAGGCTACTTATTTTTCATTTGCTCCTCCTCTTGTGCCATTGATGCCCTGAGAGGCTCTCTAGCCTACATCATCCAAACTTCCTTGCCTGGTACCTTCTGCCTGAGTAGAATAGAAGGACAGGAAGTGACTCCAGCTGTCACTGGACTCTGGAAACAGTTCATACTCTTATCTTTTCTTCATGAAAAAACTGAAGACTTCAGCTATAATCTCACTTGTTGGTGTTCTTGTTGTTGTTGTTGTTGTTAGGTGTTGTTGAGTTTGTTCTGAGTCATAGTATGTTGTTGTTGTTATGTGCTGTGGAGTCAGTTCCAACTCATAGTGACCCTACACAGGGTTTCCGAGGCTGTAACTCTTTACGGGAGCATAAAGCCTCATCTTTCTCCGGCGGAACAGCTGGCAGTTTTGAACTGCTGACCTTAAGGTTCACAGCCCAATTCATAACCACTATACCACCAGTACAGAACAGAACTTCCCAGTCTGGTGCCAGCCTCACATTCATCCCATTGTTGCAGTCACTGTGTCAATCCATCTCATTGAGGTCTTCCTTTTTTGTCTTTTTGCTGACCCTCTACTTCACTAAGCATGATGTCCTTCTTCAGCAACAAGTCCTTTCTGATAACCTGTCCTAAGTATGTGACATGAAGTCTCTTCATCCTCACTACTAAGGAGCATTCTGTCTGTACGTCTTCCAAAAGAGATTAGTATATTTCTTTTGCTGTCCATGGTATATTCCGTATTCTTCACCAACACCATAATTTAAAGGCATCAATTCTTCAGTCTTCCTCATTCGTTGTCCAACATTCGCATTCATCTAAGGCACACCTTTGTCTTCAAAGTGACATCTTTGCATTTGAACAGTTTAAAGAGGTCTTTTGGTGGAGATATGTCATTTGATTTACTGACAGCTGCTTCCATGAGCATAGATAGTGGATTCAATAAAATGAAGTTCTTCAGTCTTTTTCCATTATCATGATGTTGCTTATTGGTTCAGCTGGGGTGAATTTTCATTTTCTTTATTTTGAGGTATAATTTATACTGAAGACTGTAGCTAAATTTATCAGTAAGTGCTTCAAATCCTTTTCAGTTTCAGCAAACAAGGTTGTGTGATCTGCACATCTCAGATTGTTAATGAGTCTTTCTCTAATCTGACTGCTTCATCCTTCTTCATATAATCCAGTTTCTTGTGTTATTTGCTCAGTATATAGATCTAATAAGGATCAAAACAGGATACAATGTTGACACACAGTTTTCCTGATTTTAAATCACTCAGTATACCCTGTTATATTCAAATGACTGTCTCTTGATTCTACATGAACACAATAAAATGTTCCAGAATTGCCTTTCTTCACAACATTATACATAATTTGTTATGATCCACATAGTTGAATGCCTTTACATGGTAAATAAAACACAGGTAAACATCTCACTTAGACTTTCACGTGCCTACCAAAGGTACCCACATCTTGCAACTATCCTTATTACCTTTCCTTCAGTTTCAAAGAATGCTCAAGACAATTTATTTACCTGCCCATGAGCCTTTCTCCCACCTACTCTGGGATGGTACTCCATTATTCATTCTTCTCACACAGGTATCTTCATGGCTTTTTTCTCTCTTGGTATATATTGTTGTTGTTAAGTGCCATTAAGTCCATTCCAACTCATTCAAACCTATACAGGGTACCAAGGTTGTAAATCTTTGCAGGAGCAGAACACCTCGTCATTCTCCTGTGGAGCAGCTGGTGAGCTCAAACTGCTGACCTTGTGGTTCACAATC